CCTCCTCCTCCTCCTCCTCCTCCTCCTCCTCCTCCTCCTTACCATCGCATCGCGTTCGGCCATCTGGGGACCCCAGTGGGCCCGCGCCAAACGTCACTCCGGCGAATGGCCACTCTTACGTGCTCGAGAGAAGGTACCGGCGCCGTTCCTCCCCAGACGCGTTCTTACCAGGAAGCCAAAGCGGACCCAGCCGCGGCAACGAGGGAAGGGTGGTTCGGCGGCAACTCATGGGAGCCTCCCATACCATCTTGTCGGCTCTTGCGAATCGACGCTAGTCGACGATAAATCGACGCTAATCGACGCTACATCGCCGCTATGTCATCGACTCCCAGATGCTAATCGACGCCAATCGACGCCAAAGACAGAATTATGAGGCTACACAAGGCTCCCATGACTTGCTGCCGAAGGATAATGGCTTCGGTAACTCCTCCTCATCTGACGCACGGGCGGGACGGACGAAAGCGCCAGCCAGCACACGGGGCCAGAGACCTCCCAGATGGTGTCGGAGCAGATGTGGTCGGAGGATCGCGCCGCATCGCCGATGCATCGGCGACTACCGGCGATGCATCGGGGATGCATCGGCGATGCATCGCCGACGTCGGCGATGCATCGGCGACGCACGACGCAGACGCGAAGCACGTCGGGCTCCACACCGAGCCGCATCGGCGATGCATCGGCGATGCATCGGCGATGCATCGGCGATCCTCCGACCACGTCTGCTCGGACCCCATCGGGGAGGCCCGGCGGGCACAGCGGGCCACAGAGAGCCCCGAGGCGGCGCCAGCCAGCACAGCGGGCAGGGGGGGGCACCGGCCGAGAGCCGGCAGAAGGCCAGCCATCGCACGGGGCATCCACGAGCCTGCCACGGGCGGGCACCGGCTGGGCGAACGCCCTGAAACGCCAGCAGCTTGGGCACCGCTCGGAAGAAGATGCAGGGAAGGAAGGCGCTGAACGTAGACCGGGCTTCCTCAGCCCTCTGGAGAAAGCCACCCGGCACTGGAAATAGGAAGGCCGCTGACAAATATTAGAATCTGGGAATCCACAGATGCATCCTTTCAACTACCATGCGCACTGAACTTAGAACACCCGTAGTGCAAGTACTGCAAGGGAACAGAAACAACTGCGGTGAAGGGCCCCGGCGCCGG